CAATGTACATAAAGTTTCTCAGCTTTCAGGTTGCTCAAGAGTTAGTACTCCCAACCCACTGAAAAACAAAAAAAAAATTCCCCCAGCAAAATCCTTTACCTTACTAAAAAATACCCCAGAGTAATACGAACCATCTTCATAAACCACTGTAAAATAGAAGGGAAAAAAAAGGAAAGAAATATACAAACATATGTCCCACAAACTACCAAAACCAGGAACAAAAATAACCCTCTTCCAAAAACGCAAGAAGATGCTGTAGAAGTTTGTCACCAACCTCCTGGTGGAAAAAAAAAGCCCCAAACTGCTCTGTTAATTGCTATTTGCTGTGCTGCTGCTTAGCACCTGTATAAGCATCCTCCTAACAAATGTATAGGCAGTAACATCACATCAGGCATAATCCACACTAAGCAGCAACAAGTAGCAGAAAACAGACGCAGTCTGGTTTAGGGTGTGGCACAGATCTGATGCAGAACATGGCTCTGCTTCAGTGCAAAAGGCAGGAGCGTGGATGCCAGCTTCAGAATGAGTAAAGCCAAGTCAGCAGCCCCTAACACAGGAACATGCATACACTCAGCTGGAAGCTTCACTGGTATTCTAGCATTTTCTAAAAAGCTCTCAACAGCCACCACACCAGAGCCCACTGGACCCAAATGATGACTCCATGGAAAGCTCTTTCTGTACAGCTTGGTTCTTAGTGCAGGCTAACCCAAACAAGAGCATTGGAACTCTTTATATGGCATATTTTCTGAGGAGTCTCAAGCACCTACAGACTATTTAGAACAAAGATTAATATATTCCTGCATAGGAATGGTCTTTCCTAACCATCATACATAGTTTCACCTTACATCTGCCTTTAGCAGGTGTCCAGTAACTTTACTCCCTGACTAAAGCACAAGGTATGTCCCTACCCCCGAAACAAGGTAACTCCTTGATGTCATCTGAACTGTTTCCCAGAAAACTGGAAGTTAATTCTCAAGTTTTCTGAGGCAGCTAAACACTCAGCAAACCAAAACCTGGGCCAGCAAATTCACTGCACCTGTACCTTTTTACTACTAGTAAGAAATCAGTTTCTGTATCTATTTCTCCTGTGTCCTGGCCACTATGCAGACAAAAACGTTTATGATGAAGGTACTTCATTCTTCACTTACTTGGGTGAAAAACTTTATTTTTCATTAAATCAACTTACCCGTTTCTTTATAAGACACTATCTTTGGATCAATGCCCATAGGTACAATTTCTTTGAACACTCCAACTCGAAGGTCTGGGAAACAGTGAGCTCCTCCTGCACTGCTCTAGGAAATTAAACACAGAAACAATCCACCACAATTTATCAGGTGTCAAGATTAAGATGACCCACTCGCTTTAATTTCTACAGCTCATTAAGAAAAAGTAAATGTCTTGGTGGCTGAGGGAAAAAAACGCCTCTACTGCTGAAATCCACATTCTCAATCATGAGGTTTGGGCAGTGGACTTGTAACACGATCTGGCAGACAGGTGTCTTAGGCCCAATGACTACTCTGCAGATGAGACAGGCAGCATTTGGCATGAGGTGCAGGGTCACTGAGGAGTGAGAAGTAGAGCAAAGAAAATAACCTCCTCCAATAACTGATCATGTTGCAACATTTGGGCCCTGCAGTTCTCTTCAGCCCCTCTGACACACGACACAAGCACAGCTAGGCCTCCAGTCATGACACATGTGATGGGAACTGCAGTGGTTCATGGGTGTGAAAGACATATGGGAAGTCAGCCAGGTGTAAGATTTGTTCACAGTGGAGTCTGGCACTCTTTACCCCCAAACTCAAGCGTAGGATTTCCTCTTCAGAGGTCTTGGCAAGACCTTTTTGCTAAGCACCCTCACTGCAGGCTACAGTGAGAGTTTCTGCAAGGCTGAGCCTCAAGCATGGCTTAGGCACCATCAAGTACATAAACACTCAAACAAAAGTGCAGTGGTGTGCAGCACTGTTCAGGCTATTACGGAAATCAGTCTGCAGTAACTATAGTGGCCACTGGAAATTTTCACAGCCCCATGCACAACTTTCATTCCTCTATGCCTATGTCTTTGTGGCACAGGGACCTGAAAGCCTCACTTACTCGGGTACACAGCATGCAAGAGGACACAACTGTGAGACAGCAAATACTGCAATGTACCAATGCATAAATGCCGATGTCCAGAGAGATCATGTGAGGCTAAAGGTTTTGCCAAGGTCAAGGTAAAATTCCATCCCTGTTCTGTTTTTGCATCTACATAGGACTACAGCTAACACAGTTCCTTCTGAAATGCAGCCAAACACAACAGATAGTTAAAAAGCTAAGACTGAGTCATCACTGCAGCTCTACATGGAATTTGAATTTCACAAGTTTCACTAACTCCATTGATCTAGCTGCTTATGAAAAAAATAGCACTCCCTGCAAATAAAACTGTGTGGAGAAGAGCTGCTGCTTAAGCAGCAGCTTTCCTTCCTCACAGAGAAACCAGTACCTACAGTGCTCGGGCAGCAAAAGCCTAACAGAATGCCATACAGTGCACCAGCCACAGCTGCCATCACTCAGACATCACCAATGTCTGAGGACGGCAAACAGCACATATGCTCAGGCTCAAGCAGAAGTTACTGCCTCTGCCTCCAGTCAGGGATTAAGTAGAATAGGAAGAAACCTCTTGACTCTGCCTGTGTTATTTCTCTAGAAGATATCCAGCTCGCGGAACTGACAGTGCACCTATATGGACACCAAAGCCTGCATGAACCTAAACCAGTAGGCTTCTAGGCAAGGATCTCACATCAGGGTGAAGAGGACAGTGTGTGGAAATACTTTGCTTGGCTGAGTGCATGCTGTGATGCCTACTCAAGCTGGAGTCAAACTTTGCTGAAAAATGGTGGGGCTGAAGCACACTCCCTTGCTCACCCACACGGGGACTTTGCAGCTGCACCCACAGCTGCCAAAGCTGCTATCACTGCTCATGGTAACTGCTACTGCTGGTGAAACCCAGCAAAGATATCTAAACAAGGTATGGCTAAGAACCCACAGCTTAGATAAGTGCTGGAAGAGCAGAACTCCTAGAGCAGAAATAACATTGTCAAGAAGGAATGTGCTTATTTCTTAAAAATCGGATGACGTGCATTAACAATGTCTATGTAGAAATTATTTGTTAATACCTTGAAATCCTCTCGACACAAAATGTTTTTGAACAGAGGCTGGGAAAGCATAACTTCAATGTAGAGATTGGTAGCTACTTTGCTTCCACCAACTGTCCCATTAATCCCTTCTGAAGCAACTCGTACCTAAAAGGCAAGAGGAGAAGCTGGGGTTGAGCCTTAGTGACAGCAAAACGGATCACAGTGAAATTAGTAAAATATGACTGGGTGACAAAAGACAGGCACAAGACCATGTGCAGAAAAGAGACTACTGAATAAGGAAGGAAAATATGGTTATACTGAAGTTGAACGTAAAGAAGACAGCAAATAGGAATAAAACCCCAGTGATCACTTCTGAGCCACGTGAAAAGAATCGCAGCAAGAGAGTCAAGAAAGTCTATGCAATAAGCAGAGAAACAGTGTCTGGTTAACAAGCAAATCCTGCAGTCAGCATTAAAATTCCCACTGGAAGTCTGCCTCAGGAAGAACAATGGGCTTGTGCCCCATGACTCACACAGCTAAAAGAAAAATGTGAATATGCATAATATTGTACCTAATATTAAACTTCAGTGTGAGTCATTTTATCTCTAGCATTGACAAATGAACAAAAGCTCTGGAGTGGGAGGAGAAAAAGAAAAAAAGATTGAGTATAAGAGGCAAGGACAAAACCAACTGGTTGAAAAGGTAAATACTGTACCTGTCTTGGAGATGAGATGACAAAAAAGAAAAGAAATTTGAGAAAAACACCAACCACCAGGCAAGACAGCTGAGCAGAAAAAGAAGTGGCATCAGGACATTGCACCCCAGACCTGTGCTGAGGTACAACAGGGAAGGTGCCTACCACCAACAAAGACAAAGAAGCTACTTAGGAAGACAAGTCAAAGATAAAAGTAATCTGCTCTGCCTCCCCACAGATAGCCTAGGAACATCAGCTTCATGAGGCTACAATTCACCTTTGCCCACAGCCTCAAGAGGCCAGCTAGATAAGCAACTCACCTCCTTGGTCTAGCCTGCTTGGAATGAAGAGAAAAAGGACTGCACAAGAACGACCATTGCTATCCTATAGCGTGGTCTAAGGTGTGAGTTGTTCTCACCTAATTCCTGACTATGGATTAAAGCTTGGTGTAGTTACTCTGACTGGAAGACCATAGTGCACTGAGGAGTTAGGATACAAGGACCCATTAACTACAGGCAAGCCCAGACCCTTGCTTGGGGGTCTGCACTGCACCTCCAGCTTGACCTTCAGGCTGTGTTGTGCTGCATGCAGCCCTTGCCTGCAGGTTAAACCCAGCCTGGTAAGGGTAACTGAGACACCTGCACGCAGCTCTCTGTTGACACCAGTGATTATACCACCTCCATTTCCTTGCCTTCATCTAGACGTGTATCAAGAAGTTCTCATGTGAATATCCTTTCTGTTTGACAGCACAGGGACTTGTTTTCCTGTTTCCAAGTTTACCTGTTGGAATGATGGGAACGGGGTAACCCTTGGAAGGACAGGGTCTGCACAGTGCTCTGTCTGTGGGTCAGAGACTTGCTCAGTGCTGCACAACTCAAGGTTCCCAGCATCAAAGGGGAGACAAGACTATGTGTATTGATTTTTTCTCTGTAACATTAGCATTACATTTAGAATTCTAAATAATACTTCACAGAGTCTGAGTATTTTGTATAACAGACTAGCTCCTTCTGGTGCAAAGTACCTGGTTCTCCATATGCCCCATCATACAGCACTAAGCAAAGATGAGCTTTTGTCCTTAAGAATATAAACACTGCTTACAAGTCTTACCTTGCCAGTGAGATGTAGATGCTGACACAAAGCCTTTTGCCAAGCACAGAGCTTCTCTGGATCCTTCACCTCACAGTAACAGTAATACAAAAGTACTTCTCCCACCTTGCTGTCCATAAAATGGCAAAGATGAGCAAACAAGAAGGATGTTCAGGGTTGAAAGAACAGAAACATATCATTAGCCATCACCATTCAAAAAGCAGACAATTTTCTCCTGGCATATGTGTAGAGGGAAAAAAACTCCACCAACAAATCACCATTCAAAAAGCAGACAATTTTCTCATGGCATATGTGTAGAGGAAAAAAAACCCCACCAACAAACAAACTCTGGAGGGATTAACACTGTTGAGTTTGATTTACTTCAAAGAGACGGAATGTTAACTAAAACGAGTTCCCACACTTCTGGTTCTCAGGACTGGTTACAAAATGAACTCATCTGTGCTGCATGGGACATCTGCTAGTGACACAGTGTGTGCTCTCCCGACACACAGGAACTGCTGGGTTTCATGCGCACAAGTACCCCATCAAATGCTCTTTGCCAGACTTGGGCTTGATCATTCAAGTGCTTGAGCTACCAGAATGTAAAAGCCAAGGCTCTCAGTGAGACTGTGTGCACCTGCATTCTCTGCAGCACAGGCCAAAGCCTCCCACAGTCAGACACATCTCTGTGGACCTAATTCATAGCTAAACTGACTTTAAAGCACCTGAAGGAGCAGAGGGAAGCAATGTACTGTTCTGATCTGTTTTGCTCTGGCCCTTCCTTACTTACAGGTCTAAGCTGTCAAGCAACACCTGCACAGGTCTGCTTTAGCAACACTGGGTAACATAGCTCTGAGAGTTCGATCCACCTTATTCCCCACCTCTACCATCAAAAAACGCAGTGCGTCTATTCCTGTATATGAAAGGCACCCAAAGATTTAAAGACATGTCATAGAGAACTTTCTGCATCTTACAGGTGCTGCTGACCGACTTTCATGAGCAGTGCTACTAGCAGATACCGTGTGAAGCATCAGCAGCCAAATCCCCTACTCCTGGCTGGACCTCTGAACCGGAGAGCGCCTTTCTTACCTCGTCAGATCATCATAGCTAACGTGGCTCGTGTCCGGGAGCGTGCAGAAGATCTCGGGCGCGGC